AAGACAATATGGTACTGGCACAAAAAAAGAAATATAGATCAATGGAACAGGATAGAAAGCCCAGAGATGAACCCACGTACCTATGGTCAACTAATTTATGACAAAGGAGGCAAGCATATACAATGGAGAAAAGACTGTCTCTTCAATAAGTGGTGCTGGGAAAACTGGACAACTACATGTAAAAGAATGAAATTAGAACACTCCCTAACACCATACACGAAAATAAACTCAAAATGGATTAGAGATCTAAATGTAAGACCAGACACCATAAAACTCTTAGAGGGAGACAGGAAAAACAGTTTTTGACATAACTCACAGCAAGATCGTTTTTGATCCACCTCCTAGAGTAATGGAAATAAAAACAAAAATAAACAAATGGGACGTAATGAAATTTAAAAGCTTTTGCAAAGCAAAGGAAACTACAAACAAGACGAAAATACAACCCTCAGAATGGGAAAAAAATATTTGCAAACGAATCAACAAAGGATTAATCTTCAAAATATATAAACAGCGTATGCAGCTCAATATTAAAAAAAACAAACAACCCATTCAAAAAATGGGTAGAATACCTAAACAGACGTTTCTCCAAAGAGGACATACAGATGGCGAGAAGCACATAAAAGGCTGCTCAACATCACTAATTATTAGAGAAATGCAAATCAAAACTATAAAGAGGTATCACCTCACACCATTTAGAATGGGCATCATCAGAAAATCTACAAACAACAAATGCTGGAGAGGGTGTGGAGAAAAGGGAAACGTCTTGCACCATTGGTAGGAATGTAAATTGATACAGCCACTATGGAGAACAGTATGGAGGTTCCTTAAAAAACTAAAAATAGAACTGCCATATGGCCCAGCAATCCCACTACAGGGCAAATACCCTGAGAAAACCATAATTCACAAAGAGTCATGTACCAAAATGTTAATTGCAGCTCTATTTACAATAGCCCGGAGATGGAAACAACCTAAGTGCCCGTCGTCGGATGAATGGATAAAGAAGATGTGGCACATATATACAATGGAATATTACTCAGCCATAAAAAGAAACGAAATTGAGCTATTTGTAATGAGGTGGATAGATCTAGAGTCTGTCATACAGAGTGAAGTAAGTTTCCACAAGACCAGAAAGAGTCAGGGCTGAACACAGCTTAGATGCCGTCTTCACTTTGCTATTGTTAACTGCTAAGAGGAAAACCCCAGTTAATAGCTTTATAGGCCAAAGCAGGAAAAATAATAAAGGCTCTCTCCTATTCAGGTCAGCAGGCATTAAAACAACAATAACCTATTCTGTTCAATATATATATATTTTAGTGATAATATTTTAATTGGACAACTCCTTTTGGTTGTTCAAAGTGCTCTTACTGATGCTCTTAAGTGTCATATAACCGTCTCGGTTCTTTGTGGCTGTCTGGAGGGGTGGGATAGGGAGGGTGGGAGGGAGGGAGACAAAGAGGGAAGAGATATGGGAACATATATATATGTATAACTGACTCACTCTGTTATAAAGCAGAAACTAACACACCATTGTAAAGCAATTATACCCCAATAAAGATGTTAAAAAAAAAAAAAATAGATACAGCCACTATGGAGAATAATATGGAGGTTCCTTGAACAACTAAAAATAGAATTACCATATGAGTCAGCAATCCCCTCCTGGGCATATACCTAGAGAAAACCATAATTGAAAAAGACACATGCTCCCCCAATGTTCATTGAAGCACTATTTACAATAGCAAGGTCATGGAAGCAACCTAAATGCCCATCGACAGACGAATGGGTAAAGAAGATGTGGTACATATATACAATGGAATATTACTCATCCATAAAAAGGAATGAAATTGGGTCACTTGTAGAGACGTGGATGAATCTAGAGACTGTCATACAGAGTGAAGTAAGTCAGAAAGAGAAAAACAAATACCGCATATTAATGCCTATATGTGGAACCTAGAAAAATGGTACAGATGAACCAGTTTGCAGGGCGGAAATAGAGACACAGATGTAGAGAACAAACGTATGGACACCAAGGGGGGACAGCGGGTGGGGGGTGGTGGTGGTAGTGGTGGGTTGAATTGGGAGATTGGGATTGACATGTATACAGTAATGTGTATAAAATGGATGAGTAATAAGAACCTGCTGTATCAAGAAATAAATTAATAAAAAAAGAAAAGATGAGGAACAAATTACTGATAAATATATGGGTAAATCTAAAAGAATATTGTTGGACAACATAATATTAATATATCTTTGGGACTTAAACTATATGTACAATGAAAATACATGACATAATAATACAAAAAGTGGGAAGAGTAAATAAAGTTAAAGTGTTCTGTGTCCTAGAGAAATGGTAAAACTACGAATTTGTACTCAATTGTAATAAGGCAATTTTGCATTATGAAGTCTCTATGATAACAGCTAAAGGAAGTCTGGAGGAATGTATAATCCACAAGCTATGAGAGAGTAAAATGGTAAACAAAAAATTTGATTTGCCCATGAGAAAACAATAAAAGAAAAAGAGAGAGAGAGAAAACAGAACATAGAACAGATAGGATATATATCTAGCATAGTAAGATAGTAGCTATAAACCCAAACATATCAGTAATCACATTAATATGTAAATGGAGTAAATAATCCATTGTAAAGGAAATGATTGTCAGACTGAATAAGTATATTTTTACATACACTAACTATATATTGCTTGTAAGCCATACACATTACAAGTAAGAATCCAGCAAGTTGAAAGTTAAAGGATGAAAAATTGTACACCTTGTAAATACTTGGCAAACACCAGTTGGTACAGCTAAAGTAGATTTTAAGGCAAAACCAAACAAAAACAAAGCATTACTATAGGTAAAGAAAGACTCAAATTATACAGATCCAACATGTTTCAATCTGTGTGCACCTAATAAAATAGCATCAAAATACATAACCAAAATTTGACAGAACTAAAATGATAAATATTTTTAAATGTACCATGTGAGAGAATTTAACATACTTCTTTTGATAATTGGTAGAAAAATAAACAAATAAACAAACAAACACAAATCTGGACAGATAAGAATGAACTTAGTAATATGAGAAACAAAATTCAATTCAATTGACATGTATGTAACAACAGTGAACCCAACAAGGACAAAATTAATTTATTTCCAGTAAAAAGGTTTACCTGAAACAAGTATATGCTTGTAATAGACTAAGTATCAGTGAATTTCAAAGAACAGATATAATTCAAAGTATGTCTCAATGGATTTAGACTAGAAATCAACAACCAAAAGAAAACTAGAAAATCCTCCAATGTTTAGAATTTAAAAAATAAACTTCTACATAACTCAGAGTGCATAGAAGATATCAAAATGGGTATTATAAATTTTTAGCTGAATGATAGTAAAAATCAAAAATATAAAAATGTGTGGGATGAAGCTGAAGTTATGCTCAGTGGGAAATTTATATCCCTAAATTCATTTTTAGGGAAAAACATAAAGGATGAAAATCAGTACTCTAAGTATATATCTAAACAAGCTAGAAAAAGAATAATAAAATAAATCCAAGAAAGTAGAAGAGAGGAAATAATAAAGACAAGAATATAAATTAATGAAATAGCAACATTTGATGAAAGGATCAAAAAATGCAGATACTGATTGCTTATAAGGACCAATAAAATTTATAGACCCTCAGCAAGATATATCAGAAAGACATACTTCTTCACAGCAGTATAACAAAAGACACATCACTAAAGGCATTAAAAAGACCATAAAAGGATGTCATGAACGTTATGTCAACAAACTTGACAATTTAGATATAATGGACACATTCTTACAAACCACTTGCTACTGAAACTGAGAGAAGAGAATAATAACCTAATATCTATTAAACAAATTGAAGTTGTCATTAAAATCTTTCCTCAAAAAAAAACCTCAAGGCCCAGGTGGCATCTCTGATGATTTCTTACAATTATTAAAGAAGAAATAGTACCAGTCTTAGACAAAATCTAGAGAACTGATAAAGAGGGAATACTTCCCAACCCATTGTATGAAGTTAGCAGAAACTTGATACAAAACCCAAAAGGAAAATAACAAACCAATCTCCCTCATGAAAATAGTTGCAAAAATCCTACGTAGAGTATTAGCAAATAAAATTCAACAATATATAAAAAGCATAATTCATCACAACCATGTGGGATTTATTACAGAAATACAATCCTGCTTTAACATTCAAAAAAGAAGCAATGTAATTCCAGGGAAAAAAAATAAATGTAATAATCATATGATTGTTTCAACAGATATTGCTAAAATTAAACTCACTGAAGGTTTTCTTAAACTCTTAGCAAAATAGAAATAGGTGGTTTCTATATCTTTATTTTGATTTTTTTAATGTATTTGTAACACCATATTTAAAGATGAATTACTGAAAGATTTAGTTATGAGATCAGAACACAGATACCCACCACTTATACTCAGCATTATACTGAAGTCCAAGACAGTGAAATAAGATAAGAAAATAAATGAAAGTCAGATATAAACACAAATATTTTCTTTTTATTTAAAAATATGCTATTTTATGACTCCTGAGAATTTGGGGAGATAGTGTTACTTTTATTAGGATGCCTCATCAACAAGGCGTTATCATCTTTCAGATTGAGGGGACCATTCCTATATCTGTTTCCCACTGTCCTCGTGTTTTCTAGCACAGCACCAATAACACTGAATGACCACTGTTAGACTGGTTACCCACAGCACACAGCTTAACCATCCTATAGGTCCTACCAACCCAGTACCTCATGTATGGTTTGTACTTAAAAAGTACTTGTTAGAATGAGCTGGATTCTAGTTATTTATGATCTAGAGGAAAGAGTAGAAACCAGTAATTCAACAAGCACACTAATAAAATAACAAAAATGCAAAAATTAAATTTTATATTAGTGCTATATCAACTTGAAGAGAAGAGGAAGTGAAAAATATGGTTTTATTTTAATAAATAGAGACATATGTGGCAGTACTTACCCAAACACAATGGTGGTGTAGTCCACACTCCCTCTAAACAATAGGAATCCTTAGACCCTTGTAGGAAATGGTGCTCGAAACATCTGTATTCCACTGAGGAACCATTTTCATAGGTCCTGACTGTTGAGCTCTTAATAACTCCATTTTTAATAAATGGGGGAGATGCACATGTTCTTTTAGATTCTGCAAAAATAATAAAGTCTTCAATGAATTGCTACAATAGGCAGCCAGTGCTTTTATAATCGCTACAGAAATAAAACAATATATTTCATGTGAAAGCATTTTTAAGACATCTCTCAAGTAATCTGTAAATATCAAAAGCATTTCTGCAATAACTTCATACATAAAATTTATGACTGCAATTAGAATATCATAATATTAAGTACACGTTTAAAACTAGCAAAGTATTAATTATTGTGATTTTTGCCAAAAGTGAAAGCGTATAAGATCCGTCTTGAGGCCATGCTTTCTGTATGCATTCTCTTCCTGTTTCCTTATTAAAAGTGACAGTCCCATGCCCAAGGAGTACACCAAGTCTCTCACTCTACCTTAAGCCCTCTTCTGAGACAATGCTCCCCTGCAAACCCTGAGGAGAGCAATGCTTCACAGGGTTGTTGATTGCTCACAAGAGGGTGATCCATCCTCTGAAAGTCTGGAGATATGTACAAAATCTCATGATTTCTCTCTTTATAAAACTGACTTACAGAATTAAAAGATGTCAGCATAGATCCTATTTAAGGGTATGTGCTGATTGGAAATTGATCAGGTCATTCCCAATTTTATAGACTAGATGATGAGGGTGGTGGATTGCTTAGGGTCTTATCCTTTGAACTCATACTGATCACCTGTGATATTGGTCACGCAAGAAATTGTCAGGAAGCACTATTGTTTTACCTTTTCTAATACATGAAGGATATTTCACTTCACCTCTGTTGCACTGCACCGATAATTCAGAGGGTGCAGTTGATGGAGACAAGTCATACCCCTGTTTACATACAAAATCTATTAAATCTCCATGTAAGATCTTCCCTTCATAATTCCACTTCATCCCTAGGTTATTTCTGCTCATGTCATCCATGTTAACTGTACACGGCTCTGTAAAACAAAGGGTCTTTTCAATTCTTCACTCATCTCACAAGTATGAAAGTGATATATTTTTACAAAAAAAATTATGACAGGCATCAAAAGCGGTATTTATATTTACCATTTATCATTATTAAAGCTCTTCACACATATACATTTATTGCTGTCAAATGAATTTATATATTTTGTATTATCTTCAATATATCATAAATTAAAACCACTTAATTTGAAACATTAAAAATATTGTTTAAGGACAACAACCACTTAGGTTCATCCTGATTTCCTTCCTATCAAATAAAATCTTCAAATAGAAAATGTATTTACTGTGTAATATTTGTGGGACACTTACCACTTGATATTCATCGGTGAATAAAACAAAGATCCCTGCCCTCATGGAGATTGCCTTCTAACTGGGAGACACACACACATAATCAACAATAAATGTAATAAATATATGGATCTTATAATTTGGGGCCATCTTTAAACTACATATAATAAGTGCGATAGGAAAATTGATAGTGGAGGTGTGGGGGAAGGGGAACTGTGCTTCTAGGTAAGGTGGTTGGGACAGGCTAAAATAAGTAATCTTTGAACAGACTTGCAGAAGGCTAAGGAGTGAACCAAGTCATTTCCTCTCATTGTTGTGGCCTCTCCCGTTGCGGAGCATAGGCTCCGGACGTGCAGGCTCAGTGGTCATGGCTCACGGGCCCAGCCGCTCTGCGGCATGTGGGATCTTCCTGGACCAGGGCACGAACCCGCGTCCCCTGCATCATCAGGCAGACTCTCAACCACTGCGCCACCAGGGAAGCCCCTGAACCAAGTCATTTTTTGAGGGAATGGCATTCCAGGCACGGGGAACTACCTTGAGGTGAGAGCACACCTGGCTTACTTGGGGGGGGAGTAATGAGACTAGACTGGCTGAAGTAGGATAAGGGCAGGGAAGACCAGCAGGGGGGAGGTTGAGAAGTTCATAACATCTGGAGTAATTCACAGATGGGAAATGCTGCTCCTTATAGCACCATCTTTCCCATTCGTAGTGAGAGTATTTTCAGTTCCACAGGACAAGTAAGATGCACAAAGCTCTCTCCTCTTGCCCTGATGACAATAAATGATCTACACTCAGTATTTGCTTTAGGCTGTGGGCACCAAGCCTAAATGTCATGAGCCAATTGCTCCAGACAGAAAATGATAGGTTTCCTTAAACCTTATTGTTCCCTATGGGATTGTTCCATTACTAGCTTTTCCTTTACAATTTCGGTCCAGTCTCTATCCTCAGAGATGACTGTACTTCCATTCAATGCAATATCAATCACATCATCAAAAGCTTAACATCAAAATCATTTATGAAAATATGAGAGCAATAGAAAAACTACAGGTGAAGATATATCTGAATGTGAATGTGAACAGCAAACTAAGAATCACTTGAAGGAGAGAAATCACAAAGGAGATGCTGAAAGAGCTGACTTAAAACTTAAATTTATGTATATTAAAAACACTATAAATAAAAGGAAGAGGAAAACAAAAAATAGCTGTAATATACATGACTGTCAAATGGATAATGTAATTTATATAGATAAAGCTCTTATGCGTATGAAAAAATCGCTAAACTATGAACAATTAGTTCATTGAAAAACCACCTGTGGCCATTAGAAAATTGAAAAATGTCAACTGTTTAATACCCAAATAAATCCAATTAAAGTAATTTTAATTGCTTAATTAACAATATGTAAAGATTAAGATATTCAAGTTCACAAAGATTAAGAAACTACATTAATTCACTGATGCTAGGATCATAAATCAGAATAAACTTTATGAAGGGCAGTTTGGCAATTAACAGAAATTTAATTAAAATTCCAGATCTCTTTGATCCAGAAATTCCTCTTCAGATAATCTGAAAACAAAAACAAAACATGTGAAATAAATAGAATTCATTTTATTTTATTAAAAAATAAAGATTATTTACATGTACAAATATTTAGTACAAGATGTACTATGTGGAATATAAAAATGTTGAAAACACACTAAATGTCCATCAAAAAGAAATTAAATTATGGCATATCTGCATTAAGGAATACTGTACAGCCATTAAAATATAATGTAGAAATATATCAAACCATGTTCATAATATAGTTTAAGTGAAAGAAACAAGATTCATAGCCTCTTCATGATATCATCCATTTTTGTGAATATGTATGTTGGAAGCTGGTGTAGAAAAAGGTGTAAAAGACCATTATCTAAGTCATTGATATTTCCGGCAAGGTTACTGATATTTTCTGTTTTCTTCAGTTTATTCTGTACGTTTATTAATTTTCTTGTAGATAACAATGATTTGCTTTTGTAGTTTAAAGGGCTAATATTTTTAACTAAATGTCTTTTTTAACTTATAGGGAGTTTATCATGCAATTTTCTATTTGTAGAAGTCACAATGTAAGAAGTTCTTTGTGACTGTAGTGACCGGGTACGTTACTTTTAAATGTAACTCTGACTAACAAAGTTAAAAAATGAGGCAAATCTATAGGTTTGAAATGAGAGGTGAATATTGTTTTCCCAAAGTAATTTCAATTTAGGTAATTATTTAGATAGCTGCCTCAGTTTTCTACTTGAAAACATTAACATTAATTAATCCATGCCTTAATCCAAAATATATTTAGAGTAACTACAAAGGTTTTTATCTGCTCAACAAGATAAAACAAAAGTGAGGAAGCAGTGGCAAAGAAAGCTATAAAGGACATGCTCTACCAAGGAAAGAATTGGATTGATTATTCTTCTGTTCAAATGACATTCTGAGGACAATAGGAGAGACAACGAGGAATATAAACAACCAGGCGAAATTCCAGTTAGGAGAAAGACAACACAAATGTAATCAGACACACAAATGTGATTATATTTAATGCCACTGAAGTGGACACTTAAACATGGTTAAAATGGTAAAGTTTTGTTGTTCTTATGTTACCACATTTAAAAAAACAATGCAGTGGGGTAAGAACTAGTCTAGCCTAAACCCTAAGATACTAGGGATGTTTTTCTGCTGACAGAAACGATAAGGTAAAACACTTGAAGAATGAAAGATATATACAAAATTCTCTTTTCCATGCTATAAAACATTATATGAAAATCACATAAGAATACAAACATAAGGGTAAAACAAATTCAATGTGTCCTGCTATAAACAGAATAAGTTCCAGGGACCTAATGTACAAAACAATATATAAAAAAATAAATAAGATAAAATTCAAAAATTAAAAAAAAAACACCCCAATGTTGTGCACTTAAAAGTTGCTAAGAGTGGATTTTGAATGCTCTCATCATAACAAAAAACCCCAAAATTACACGAGGTGAAGGATAAATAAACTAACCTTATTGTGGTAATAATTTCACAATGTATTTGTGTATCAAATCATCACATTATACACCTTAAACATACACAAGGTTATATGTCAATTGTATCTCAATAAGGCTGGGAGACATTTTTTTAATTCAATGTGTTCTCTATTTTACCTAAGCAAACAGGTGGGGATGACCATTTTCCTTGTTCACAATGAGATATTTTTGTTCCTCTCAATAAGTAATATTCATTGCATCTATATTCCACTGAGGATCCTGTTGGGTAGCTTGCTAATAATCCACCAACAACAGCTCCATTTATTACATCAGGTGGAGAATTACAATTCTCAGTATTTCCTAAGAAAAGAAGTTATTTTTAAATTAATACAAACATAACAACATAATGATATAATACAGTTGCGCATACAATAGTGCTTTAATATTTCACTATGTAATTTAGGACAATTGATCTCTCAGTGTACCAGAATCAGAGAAACTTTATTCAGCTAAGTATTGTTAAAATTTACTAAGCCAAACTAATGAGCAAATGATTTGCTGAAGGACAAGTATGCAGCGGATTTTTCACTTTTCTTGCTTCTGAAGGACTCATGCTATAGATATTCTTAAAATGTACAGAAAGGTAAACAGTGTTCTTTAACCTAACGATTATGGTCCATTTAAAAACTGACCTTTGTTATTATCCATTTTTATTTTTTCCTTCTCATCTCTCTTCATCTCAGATCTCAATCAACCCATGGATGAAAATTTCCATTTTTCTCTCTGTCTTCAGAGTCTTTCTCCTACTCGGCTAATTTCTCTAGCATCGTTAATAGCTTTTCTCTTACACAACAGATATCCTCAGTAAACATGTCTGTGGAGGTCTCTCCAGGGCCTGATCAAGAAATGAGGAGAGGGCTTCCCTGGTGGCGCAGTGGTTGAGAGTCCGCCTGCCGATGCAGGGGACGCGGGTTCGTGCCCCGGTCCGGGAAGATCCCACATGCCACGGAGCGGCTGGGCCCGTGAGCCATGGCCGCTGAGCCTGCGCATCCGGAGCCTGTGCTCCGCAACGGGAGGGGCCACAACAGTGAGAGGCCCGCGTACCGCAAAAAAAAAAAATAGAAATGAGAAGGATGGCAGGATGCTGTAGCACCGAGGAGTGGTACCCTGGTTGTGCCCTTCAGTGAGATGAAAGAGCAGGTATATGGCTCAGAGGGTGGAGGGCCCAGAATGGCCAGATGCAAAAGTACTATCATTAGGATGTTAAAAACTTGTTTGTTTCCCAATTCTTTATATCCAGTTAAATTCTACAGAGAGCTCCATATGCTCAGGAAAAATAGCAGAGTAAGTGTTTCAAATTCTTCTAAGCAATGGACCGTTGCTGTGTGTGAATTAAACAAAGGAAAATGTTACACACTAGGCTTAGCTCTGGATGTGAAACGCAGCACACATACCAACACACTCAGGGGGAAGGGTCCATTTTCCACGTTTACAAGTTATTTCTTCTGGTCCCCGGAGGTGATACCCTCTTTCACACACGTATGTCACTTTATCCCCATTATAATAGACCTTGGAGGATAGGTTTGCTGCAGCATTCTCAACCAAGGGCGGGTCCTCACAGCCCATCCTCTGCTTTTCTTCTGAAAAGGGAAAATTGAAACAGAAGAGACCATTTAGCTCCACATGCACGCAGGTTTCATTTTAGGGAAAGCTCATTTGAGGTGCTGCTAACCAATGCATTTGGGAGGTTCTGTCCATTTTCCATTTTCACAGCGTATCTCTTCTGATCCCTGCCTCTCAAAGTTAAGTCCACACTCTATACGAACTGTTTCTCCGTGACGATAAGTGGTTGAGTACCTTTGAATTCTGGAGGTCAGAGGCACAGGGGGAGGAGGGCATCGATTTCTTCTTCCTTTTATGGAGAAACATCAGTATATTTAGTCATATAATTACCAAAAAATAATAGTTAAGATTTCATAAGCACATTCATTGTGCCAAGGACCCTAAGAAGTATGGCAGACAGACTGGGGCCACCCCCTGGATCCCCACATCCTGAGGCTCACTTCCTTGAGTCACGCCCCTCCCCAAGAACAGGAACTGGGACTTGCTTCTAAGCAATGAACACAGCCAAGATGATGGGATGCATGTGACCTGTTTAAACACAGCCACAAGGATGGATGCGTGTGATCATGCACACATACTGTTGCAACACAGTATGGTAAAGCCATTCTTGCTGAGCTCTTTCCAGCTGATTTGGAAGAGAAGCAAGCTGCTTTATCGCGAGTTTCCGAATGGGGTGGGCCACAGGGCAGGGGGCACAGGGCTGCCTGCAGGGGCATCCAGGAGGAGACTGAAGCCTTCTGGTCAGCAGCCTGCCAAGCTCCAAATGCTGCCACAAACCACAGTGAACTTGAAAGCAGGTTCTTCCCAAGCCCAGTCCCAGATGACACTGCAGTCCCACCTGACACCTCGACTGCGGCTTTGTCAGACACGGACACAGAGCCAGGTCAGCTACACCCAGAATCCTGACCCACAGAAACTGTGAGACACAGGTGTGTGGTTTCAAGCTGTTAAGTTCGTGCCAATAGAAAACTAAAAGAGGCAGCACGTTACATTCATTATCTCCTTTAATCTTAAAAGAACTTTGTTAAGTGGGGACTATTACATCTCCCATATTACAGACAAAGAAACTAAAACTTATGAAGTAATAAATTATTAGTAAGTGGTGGATCTGTTCCTAAACCCGTGTCTATCTGAATTAAAATCTCCTGCTCTTAACTATTCTAAAATACTGACTATATCAATTTCCCATGGCTGCCGTGACCAATTACACAATGGAGTGGCTTAAAAAATAGCACACCTTTATTCTCTTACATTTCTGGAAGCCAAAGTCCAGAATCGGTTTCACTGGGCTGAAATCAAGGTATCAGGAGAGCTGTGTTCCTTCTGGAGACTTTAGGAGACAAGCAGCTTCTTTGCCTCTGCAAGCTTCTGGGGGCTGCGTGCACTCCTTGGCTTATGACCCCTTCCTTTTTCACTCCAACCTTTGCTTCCATCGTCACATCTCATACTTGATCTTCTGTAGTCAAATCTCCCTCTGCCTCCCTCTTATATCATTATGATGCTTATGATTACATTTGGGGCCCACATGGATAATCCCAGATATTATTCCTCTCTCCAGATCCTTAATTTCATCACATCTGCAAAGTTCCTTTTGCCCTATAAGGTAACATTCACTGGTTCCAGGGACTTGAATATGAATATTTTCTTTTGGGAGGGAAGGAGGCATTACTCAGACAACTACACTGCCCATCCTACATCTAAGGACTGTTTGCTAGAAAACGATAGCAGGAATTGTGGCACCTGACTTAATTTGGTGGGAGTGGGGCGAACAGGTGATAAGTAGGTAGGGGTCTGCCATTTCATTTTGAAATAATATGCTACAGGTAATTTGCTAACAATCTTCCTCTCTGCTGTTAGAGCAAGGCTGTTGGGCACCACTGGAAAGTTTTAAAGAGAATATTTCTAACAAAAAAAACTAAAGTCATTGTTTAGTGCATTTAGAGAATGATGGCAGTTCTGGGAAACCCCACTGCATAACCCTGGTGACCCCTCTTTCGTTCCTCCGGCAACTGTTTCAAATCTTCACTACTCTCTTCCAAGGTTTCCTTTCCTGCCTTTCTCCTGCCTGTTAATAATGACACTATTTCCTACATTACAGAGACAATAGAGGCTATCAAGCCCTTTACCTCTCCCCATCCTTCCCAATCCTCAAAGCCCTATTTATCTTTTAAGGCCCAGTTCAGACATTATCCATCACCTCTGTAAACACTGTCCCACACCATATCAATCAGAACCTTCAGTGTTTGTTCAAACACCTTATACCTGACTTTATTATACCAGTTGTCACATTGTATCAATGACTTGTATCTGTTTCCTCTGCTAGACCAGGACCTCCTTTCTGTAACATTGCAGGTGTGATTATATGACTATTGAATTGATGTCTCTTAACAGGTAATCATACCACCTGCTTGAACACAGCCAGTGATATAAATGGAACCATAGACGTCCCATTTGACAGTGGCTCTTACTAGATGACCTCAGTTTTGATTTTCACTCTGGGTAACATTCTGCTGCTTTTCCTGCTCTTTACCCCACTATTTTGAAGACTGTATTTTCACATCAGAGAATATGTGGCTAAGTAATAAGAAAGTACCTCCACAAAGCTGCCACCTTGGGACAACTGGATCTAGTTAATTCCCAACAAGAAAAATTATTCATTATAATAAGAGATTTACAATTTATAATAGATTTTAAAAAATATATTTAAAAGATATATCCACTCTACAAACTAATGTAAAAATTAAGATTTCTTCAGATTAAATATATTAAAGACTGTTGAAAATAGCACTGATTTAAAAGACAATATTTATTTTAAAAAATAGCACTCTGGAGAAGAATTAGATATCATCAGAGACTTTTTTCCATAGAAATTAAAGCTGATTCAGACATGATACTTTATTTGAGTATGAAATTTTAAAAATTACCTTCACAGACAGGAGATTCTGGGTACCAACCAAAGTCATAGCACTGAATTAAATCAGATCCACTTAGATAATAATTTTTATGACAGAAAAACTGAACTACATCTCCTTCTTCATAGGTTTGCTTCACAGGATGAAAATAACCATTGTCTATTGATCTTAAAGAAGAACATATTAATTCTAAAAATGAAAGAATAAAAAACAAAGAAGTGTTATTTTTCCTGCTAGAACAAAATTCACCCACTACTCACCTGCCATATCTGAATTAGAAATCGGCAACTTTGCCAAATTTTGTTATTCCTAGTAAAAGCTTGTCAATTTATATACTTTTTGAATATCGTTAAACTTATTTTAATTTAAGTATCTGAGCTAAAAGGATTTTTCCCTCTTTGAGAGCTTGAAATGATGAAAGCCTACTGTCAACATCATTAAAACCAGAAGCAAAAAATATGAAAAAAGGAATATAATTCACATAACAACTTGTACCCATTTCTGAGAGGGAGTTTTCAAAGTGAAAGCAGTCGTCTTCAAAGTGAGAACCTACTGGCACATCGTGGGGTGAGGGCCCATCCGTACGGGTGACACTCCACCTCCTCTGTCCTCTTCCCGGAAGCTGTGTGGTACCCAGAGGCACACTCATATCGTACTTTGTCCTTCACTTTGAACAACTTCTGTGTTGTGGAATAATTTCCATGATGTAATTCAGGGGCCAAACATGTTTCTAAAAAAAAAAAGAAATTAAAGTCATTTGTTTTATGAACTCCATCCCTAAACCTAGAATACTAAAAGGAAATCTCAAAACGTATTTTCTATGAATTTTAACAATATATGACAGAATCAACTCTTGGCAAAATTGAAAAATAATCAAAGTTTGCCTTTGTCTCTGGATTCCCTTTCTTCATGCACACTGCATCCTAACTCTACCTGTCTTCAGAATTTAAAATTCTACTCTAGTGTATTTGGCCAAAGGTCACAATTCAATAGAAAACTTGTGCAGTAGCGATTTTTTGATGATGTCCCATCTGTGGATTTGTATAATTTAAATAGATAACACCACACTAATTACATATATATATTCAAATAAGTGGGTTATTTTTAAAATAAATTTATTTATTTTTTATTTATTTATTTATTTTTGGCTGCATTGGGTCTTTGCTGCTGCACGTGGGCTTTCTCTAGTTGTGGTGAGCTGGGGCTACTCTTTGTTGCTGTGCACAGGCTTCTGATTGCGGTGACTTCTCTTGCTGCAGAGCACAGGCTCTAGGAGCGTGGGCTTCAGTAGCTGTGGCATGTGGGCTCAGTAGTTGTGGCTCGCAGGCTCTAGAGTACAGGCTCAGTAGCTGTGGTGCACGGGCTTAGTTGCTCCGCAGCATGTGGGATCTTCCTGGACCAGGGCTCGAACCCGCGTCCCCTGCATTGGCAGGTGGAGTCGCAACCACTGCACCACCAGGGAAGTCCCTGATTGGGTTATTTTTAAGTTTATCTGATATTGGTTTGAGGTATAAAATAATGTGCACTATTTCAAACTCTTCTCTAATGAAGGAAATAATTTATGTATGTTGTGACAGAAAGTTTCATTAAGGGTCTTTCCTTTTATTCTATTCCAATTCTTTGTTTACTAGTAAAAAATAGGAACTGCTGGCGTAGGTGCGTGGTAGAGGTTGGAAATCCTTGGATTAAGGAAACACCCAGCATTAGAGGGAAACAATATAATAACTTCATGCATCGAGAGACATAATAAAATAACAATTATATTTAAACAAGAATGCCTACCAATATAAGAAAGCATTGAACTCACAAGCTCTTATCTTCAGATTTAGGAGATAATTCTTAAACACATACCATGTTCCTTCCTACAGGTTGGCTGAGAAGACCATCCATCAGGGAGGCATTGAACCACTGCTTCGTCCTGCCCTGTTGTGGTTTTGTACCCTGATGCACAACGATAACGTACATTCTCTTGAATTTTGTAAAATAATTTTGTGTCAAAGATGTAACCATTCCTCAGGTCAGGCTTAGGGCATTTTTCTGTGGGGAAAAAATATTTCTGTTCTAAATGGATGAAATTAAGTTTGTTCTTTACTAAGTTGTAAAACTAACAATGCAAAAGTTTAATATTATTCTTGGAATTTTAAGGAGAAAGAAAAATGTTCACTCCACAGTTCCTTGATTTAATTTAATTTTGGAACTATCCTGCATGCTCTGCATCAAATTTCTTTAAAAGTTGATTCAATTTGACAGTAAAATTCTTGGATGTACTAACTTCGGTTCTCACAGTCATCCCACCCCTACCTCATCTACGTTAGAAAATATATCCAGAGAGCTTCCTCTAACTAATTGCCATTAACGGAAAATAGAAAGAATTTCTTCTGGGTTTACTTCCTAATATTTTTGAGGCCACTGCATTTGATAATTTTTAACACGATGTAACTAAAGCACATATACCTACTCTATGGATCCTTAAAGAATCATGCAGACGATTTAATGTGAAAACTGTGTTCATTTATTTCTTAAGCCTCTGATCGCCTACCTGCACAGTTAAGACTCCATAGTTAGTCCATGTAAACTGTGACTGAGTCACAGACATGCTACTCAAAACCTTGGAGTTCGCAGGGCTAATTTTTACTAAATACTTGGGACTGTGATGTGTTGGATAGTACATTTACCTTAGCATTGTATGGAGTTTAATCATTTTTTAAGCCTCATTAATGGACCCTCATAACAAACCAATTCAGAAAGGTGAAGAGACTTGTCCAAGGTTAATATTAGTTTAAATATATGTTGTACTTGCTGTGTGGCAAGCCCTTTATAAAGATTATCTCATCAAAGCTGTATGATTCACATTTTATAGGTGAGAAAGTCCAGCTCGGAATGTTTAAGCCACTTTTCAGTGTTGGAGCAGTATTCACAGGCGGCAGTCTGGCCACAGAGGGTGTCTCAGTCCTGAAACTGTAATGCTAACCCTGCAACATCCTTTTCTGGGTCCTACTTCACTGCTCTCACATCACTTCATCTAAGATCCTTAATTTACTTTTATGCTCTAGTTATGAGTGAGATGTATTTATTACAGTTAATCTGTGGTCCATGTTAATACTAAAAGTGCAATGCTTAAATTGATGCTCCATCCTCAAGTCATGGGGTGGATAATTATCCCAAATAGATATATTCACTGGACATATTGACCACCATAAGCACCATACCCACTTCTTCTGAATGAAACTGACTCAACCAAAGTGCCTTACTCTGCAAAACAGAGCTTGGGGAATGTGTCAATCAAGAGAGGTCACCTGACTCCATGGAAGCCAGCTGATAGTTTGACTCTAGTGTAGCCTCACATGAAATATTGAGATGAGCCAATCAGATTTCCTTTTCACAAATTTGAACTCAAAAAAACACATTTTTCAATGGATATTATGTGAGAAAAAGTTGTCATACAAAGGAGAGTCTTTCAAATGATAAAATACTATAGTAACAACCCTATATATACTTCCTAAGGCCAGTGTCAAGAATTTTTCAGTCTCCTGCAGAACTCTCTGTAAAAGCCCCTCATTCTTTTTTTTTTTTTAACATCTTTATTGGAGTATAATTGCTTTACAATGGTGTATTACTTTCTGCTATATAACAAAGTGAATCAGTTATACAAATATCCCCATATCTCTTCCCTCTTGCATCTCCCTACCTCCCACCCTCCCTATCCCACCCCTCCAGGCGGTCACGAAGCACCGAGTTGATATCCCTGTGCTATGCAGCTACTTTCCGCTAGCTATCTATTTTACATTTGGTAGTGTATATATGTCCATGCCACTCTCTCACTTTGTCCCAGCTTACACTTCCCACTCCCTGTATCCTCAAGTCCATTCTCTAGTAGGACTCCATCTTTATTTCTGTCTTGCCCCTAGGTTCTTCATGACCATTTATTTTTTTTCCTTAGATTCCATATATATGTGTTAGCATATGTTATTTGTTTTTCTCTTTCAGACTTATTTCACTCTGTATGACTCTAGGTCCATCCACCTCACTACAAATAACTCGATTTCTTTTCTTTTTATGGCTGAATAATATTCCATTGTACATATGTGCCACATCTTCTTTATCCATTCGTCTGTTGATGGACACTTAGGTTGCTTCCATGTCCTGGCTATTGTAAATAGAGCTGCAGTGAACATTGTGGTACATGACTCTTTTTGAATTGTGGTTTTCTAAGGGTATATGTCCAGTAGTGGGATTGCTGGGTCGTATGGTAGTTCTATTTTTAGTTTTTTAAGGAACCTCCATACTGTTCTCCATAGTGGCTGTATCAATTTACATTCCCACCAACAGTGCAAGAGGGTTCCCTTTTCTCCACACCCTCTCCAGCATTTATTGTTTCTAGATTTATTGATGATGGCCATTCTGACTGGTGTGAGATGATATCTCATTGTAGTTTTGATTTGCATTTCTCTAATGATTAATGATGCTGAGCATTCTTTCATGTGTTTGTTGGCAATCTGTATATCTTCTTTGGAGAAATGTCTATTTAGTCTTTTGACCATTTTTGGATTGGGCTGTTTGTTCTTTTGATATTGAGCTGCATGAGTTGCTGGTAAATTTTGGAGATTAATCCTTTGTCAGTTGCTTCATTTGCAAATCTTTTCTCCCATTCGGAGGGTTGTTTTTTCATCTTTTTTATGGTTTCCTTTGCTGTGCAAAAGCTTTGAAGTTTCATTAGGTCCCAGTTGTTTATTTTTGTTTTTATTTCCATTTCGCTAGGAGGTGGGTCAAAAAGGATCTTCCTGTGATTTATGTCATACAGTGTTCTGCCTATATTTTCCTCTAAGAGTTTAATAGTGTCTGGCCTTACATTTAGGTCTTTAATCCATTTTGAGTTTATTTTTGTGTATGGTGTTAGGGAGTGTTCTAATTTCATACTTTTACATATACCTCTCAAGTTTTCCCAGCACCACTTATTGAAGAGGCTGTCTTTACTATACAGTAGAGATGATGGAAGAAATTTCCCTTTCTCTTCTTTGTTCACCTCCTTTATCAAAGGTAAGGTGACCATATGTGCATGGGTTTATCTCTGGGCTTTCTATCCTGTTCCATTTACCTATATTTATGTTTTTGTGCCAGTACCACACTGTCTTGATTACTGTAGCTTTGTAGTATAGTCTGAAGTCAGGGAGCCTGACTGCTCCAGCTGTTTTTCTTTCTCAAGACTGCTTTGGATATTTGGGGTCTTTTGTGTTTCCATACAAATTGTGAAATTTTTTTTGTTCTAGTTCTGTGAAAAATGCCAGTGGTAGTTTGATAGGGATTGCATTGAATCTGTAGATTGCTTTGGGTAGTAGAATCATTTTCACAATGTTGATTCTTCCAATCGAAGAACATGGTCTATCTCTCCATCTATATGTATCATCATTAATTTCTTTCCTCAGTGTCGTATAATTTTCTGCATACAGGTCTTTTGTCTCCTTTGGTAGGTTTATTCTTAGATATTTCTTTCTTTTTGTTGCAATGGTAAATGGGAGTGTTTTCTTAATTTCACTTTCAGGTTTTTCATCTTTAGTGTATAGGAATGCAAGAGAGTTCTGTGCATTCATTTTGTATCCTGCTACTTTACCAAATTGATTGATTAGCTCTAGTAGTTTTCTGGTAGCATCTTTAGGATTCTCTACATATACTATCATGTCATCTGCAAACAGTGACAGCTTTACTTCTTCTTTTCTGATTTGGATTCCTTTTATTTCCTTTTCTTCTCTGATTGCTGTGGCTAAAACTTCCAAAAGTATGTTGAATAATAGTGGTGAGAGTGGGCAACCTTGTCTTGCTCCTGATCTTAGCAGAAATGGTTTCAGTTTTTCACCATTAAGGATGATGTTGGCTGTGGGTTTGTCATATATGGCCTTCATTATGTTGAGGAAAGTTCCCTCTATGCCTACTTTCTGCAGGGTTTTTTATCATAAATGGGTGTTGAATTTTGTCAAAAGCTTTCTCTGCATCTATGGAGATGATCATATGGTTTTTCTCCTTCAATTTGTTAATATCGTGTATCACGTTGATTGGTTTGCATATATTGAAGAATCCTTGCATTCCTGGGATAAACCCCACTTGATCATAGTGTATGATCCTTTTAATGTGCTGTTGGATTCTGTTTGCTAGTATTTTATTGAGGATTTTTGCATCTATGTTTATCAGTGATATTGGCCTATAGTTTTCTTTCTTTGGGACATCTTTGTCTGGTTTTGGTATTAGGCTGATGGTGGCTGTGTGGAATGAGTTTGGGAGTTTTCCACCCTCTGCTATATTTTGGAAGAGTTTGAGAAGGGTAGGTTTAGCTCTTCTCTAAATGTTTGATAGAATTCTCCTGTGAAGCCATCTGGTCCTGGGCTTTTGTTTGTTGGAAGATTTTTTTTTTTTTTTTTTTTTTTTGTGGTATGCGGGCCTCTCACTGTTGTGGCCTCTCCCGTTGCGGAGCACAGGCTCCAGTCACGCAGGCTCAGCGGCCATGACTCACGGGCCCAGCTTCTCCGCGGCATGTGGGATCTTCCCAGACTGGGGCACGAACCTGTGTCCCCTGCATCAGCAGGCGGACTCTCAACCACTGCGCCACCAGGAAAGCCCTGTTGGAAGATTTTTAATCATAGTTTCAAATTCATTGCTTGTGATTGGTCTGTTTATAGTTTCTATTTCTTCCTGGTTCAGTCTTGGAAGGTTGTGCATTTCTAAGAATTTGTCCATTTCTTCCAGGTTGTCCATTTTATTGGCATAGAGTTACTTGTAGTAATCTCTCATGAGCCTTTGTATTTCTGCAGTGTCAGTTGTTACTTCTCCTTTTTCATTTCTAATTCTATTGATTTGAGTCTTCTCCCTTTTTTTCTTGATGAGTCTGGCTAATGGTTTATCAATTTCATTTATCTTCTTAAAGAACCACCTTTTAAGATTATTGATCTTTGCTATTGTTTCCTTCATTTCTTTTTCATTTATTTCTGATTTGATCTTTATGATTTCTTTCCCTCTGCTAACTTTGGAGTATTTTTGTTCTTCTTTCT